AATTGGTAGACAGAGCAAATGAAGTGATCAACCGGATCAAAGCGTACAGAGTTATTCGGCAAATGACGACAGATAGCAACAGCAATAATTCACCAAGAGCGCCTAGTATACAAGGATCAACATCAGCGAACATGGTCGACAATCAAACTCCTCTCCGTCAGGAAAGACGTCAATTGCTCTCTGACGACGAAGAAGAAAATGATTGGAGGCAAAATCGACGAATGCGTCAGCCCAGCGCGCCAGACTTTGAAGAACCGAGTATAGGAAATCAGCATAAGACATCACGCCAGAATTACGACTATTAGCATACCAACTCATTCCAGCAACCACAATATGGGCTTCCTAATGCTTTGAAGGTCGACAGCGTCCGTCTACCAACATTTGGTGGCGACATACGTGATTGGCGCACCTTTTGGGCAGCTTTTGAACATGCAGTCGACAAGCAACAGTATCCGTCTTTCCAGAAGCATCTCCTGCTTCTGCAATATCTTAAAGAAGGATCAGCAGCCAGAGAAGCGATTAGTGGTTATCCACCGTCCGACGACAATTACAAAATCGTCAAGGAAATTCTAAAGAAGAAGTATGGTAACGACGACCAACTTAGCAACCAACTTCAAGCGCAACTTCTCAAACTTCCGCCCATCAGGAACAACCTTCGCGAACTCACTCAGTTCCAGAAGGACATTGAAAGAATTTGCCTGCAGCTAGAATATTTGGACAACCAATCGCCTATGTTCTTATGCAACATCATCAAGTCCAAGCTTCCCATGGAATTCTTCAGGAACTCATCGCTAAGGAACTGGACTCGCCTAAGAAGTGGACACACAAAGAACTGCGACGAGCATTGGAAAACATCGTCAACATTCGCCAAGCCACCGACGAATGCATGAATTCATTTCATGACGAACCACCACGTCGACAAGAAACGCCAAGAAGTAATCAGCAGCAAGTGCGTCAAGAGGTTCGACAATTGCCACGTCAAATGGAACATACCAGGGCATTTCCTGTATTCGCAAACGCCAATAACAACGGCAATTACACCAACCGTGGAGAACAACAACTCCCACAATCATGTTCCTTATGCGCCGTGGTTGGACACAAACCAAGCAGGTGCCCATCATATTCGACACCTCAGCAACGCAAACTTCGTCTGTTAGAACAGGGCAGATGTTTGAAATACCTTCAACAAAGCCATACGACAGATCAATGTCAACGGTCATTTACATGTCAACAGTGCGGAAGCATCGATCATCACTTCCTTATTTGCATACCACCGCAGGCAAAAATCGACTATCCAACTCCTCAAGCGGTCTCATATGCACCGCGTCTAGCTTTGCAATCTTCTGTTCAATCGCCAACACCATCGGCAAGATCAGTGCAACAGACAGTTTCAAAGATGCCTCAACGCCAAACACCTCCGCGCCGAAATGATCGACCAATGCCAAAAGTAACTGGTGGAAATGCGACAGCACTCAACAATCAACGTGCTACGACGACAATGAGTTCACTCCAAGAAGCAACAGACTCTGTTAAAGAAGTTAAAGAAGAGACTACACCACCAGTCAATGAAATTCAAAAGGAAGCAAATGAACCTGAAGAAGTCAAAGAAGAAGCAAAAGAAGCACCTGACTCGTCAACTTACTTGACAGCACGACAAAATGACAACAAAACTCATTTAATGACAATCATCATCAACGTCTCGTGCCCGGGAGGTCCAAGAGAAGGAATTCCAGCAATGGTCTTCTTCGACTCAGGAAGCCAAACAAGCTACATCGCCAAAGAACTCGTCAATCGCCTTCAGCCGCCAAAACTTTCTGAAGAAGTACTTCGCATACACACCTTTGCGAATCAAAACCCGAAGACAATTCACTCACCACTTGTCTCAATTCGTCTAAAACGTCAAGACGGCGAATGGGAGCCGATGCAGCTTAACACCATCGACGAAATTTCTACTTCAATGGAAACCTTCCAATTCATTGGACAAGACGACTGCGTCGAACCAGTTAAAGGAACACCCTCAATATTAATTGGCATTCGAGAATTCTGGAAATTCGTCACCGGCTTTCAACAACTTGGCCCCAAGCTCTACAAAGTTCAAACCGTCTTTGGAGACGTCTTAGTTGGTGAATCTTGCTTCAACACGACTAACTCGCCTAAGACATTTATGGCACTCACCGACGACGACAAAGAAGACATTCTTAAACCAAATGACGTCGAGAATTTTTGGGCACTTGAGTCTATCGGAATCAAGGAGAACCCGGCTGAGAAAGACGACGACACCGCCATGCGACTATTTGAACAATCAATACGTCAAAAACCCAATGGCACCTACACAGTTCGTCTACCTTGGAGAGAACCTCGACCAACCATCAACTCAAATTGGACAATGGCCTATAGCCGCCTTCAAGCTAACATCAAACGCCTAATTCAATCGCCCGAACTTCTCGCCAAATACGACAACAACCTGCGCGACCAAGAAGAGAAAGGAATAATTGAAGAAACCGGCCGCGACAAAGAAGAATTCTTTATGCCTCACCACGCCGTCATTAATCCAAAGAAGCTAAGAATTGTCTTGGATGCAAGTGCTCATCCCAACGGAGCAGCAAGTCTCAATCAAGCCTTATACCGAGGACCTGTTCTACTACCAACACTCGTCGGAATGCTCATACGATGGAGAACATGCCTTATACCAATCCTGTCTGACGTCCAAGCCGCTTTTCACACCATCGAAATGCTACCTGAGGATCGTCAATTTTGCAAAATTCTTTGGCTGCGCGACGTCAACAAACCAATCACCACAGACAACTTAGTCGTCAAACGCTATACGAAGATGGTCTTTGGGGTCATCTCATCACCTTTCGTCTTAGCAGCAGTTTTATTGCATCACTACGCCAAATTCAACACAGCATTATCAAAAGAAATGGCAAAAAATACTTACGTCGACAACCTCTTATTTCAATGTTCAACAGAAGAAGAGGCACTCGACAAGATGAAAACCGCCAAAGAAATATTTAAGAAAGCGGCAATGAATCTTCGAGAATTCCTAAGCCATCGACAAACAATTATGGAACAAATACCAGAAGAAGACCGACTCGACAAAGCCAAAGCTCAAGTCTTGGGCATCAAATGGGACACCGACAATGATTCAATCACACACAAATTTCCTAAAGAAGACGTCAACATCGTCACTCGTCGAACCGTACTTAGCGCCTTGGCCAGCATTTACGATCCATTGGGACTTATCAACCCATGCCTGCTTCACGTCAAATTATTCTTCCAACGACTATGGGACAACGAAAGAACATGGGATACGCCAATAAATTCAGAAGAAACGACAGAATGGCAAAACATTAAGCAATGTTGGAACGACCAAACCATCACGCTCCCTCGACAAGCAATTATAGACAACCCAACTGAGTGGCAACTACATGTGTTCAGTGATGCATCTGACAATGCCTATGCCGCCTGCGTCTATTTGAGAACGTCAAATGGTCCAAACGTCAAATCAACACTCATTTTTGCAAGAAATCGGCTGCGCCCAAAGAAAGCCAAGTCAAGCCTCACCATCCCAAGAATGGAGCTACTTGGCGCCCTAATAGCCGTCCGAGCGAAAATACACGTCGAAAAGGAACTACATCGACCAATCAGTGGCGTCCATTTCTGGTTGGACTCACGCATTGTTCTGGCTTGGATTCAATCCGTCGACCCAAAACCTCAATTTGAGCAACGACGACTAACAGAAATTCGTGATGGCGCCAAAGGAACTTTTCATTTCGTCAGAACCGACCAAAATTCCGCCGACATCGCGACACGTGGTTCAACACCAATGGAACTACAACAGTCGACTCTTTGGTGGAACGGCCCAGAATGGATTGTTCGACCATCCGACGATTGGCCCGACGAATTATCCTTCAACATCAACAAGCAAGCAGACGACAATACCATCACCGACAACACCGACACAATAGCATTCTCGACTAAAGAACCAGAGCCGCCGACAATAGACCCTGGAAGGTTTAGCTCCATCTTCACTCTTCTTCGAGTGGTAATCTGGATTATCCGCTTCATGGGACGACATCGACCGAATGTTCTCAACATTGGAACTTCTAAAGTCTCACGCCAGGGACCTATGACTGTCGACGATTACCGAGCAGCACGAATCTTCATCATACGACAAGAACAGAAACGTCTATTGGAAAACTATACAACACACCCCACGGCAATTAACAGCGATGGACTTTTATGTTTGAAAACCCGCGTCAACTTCTGCAATGGCCCCGAAACAATGGCACTGCCAATCCTCCTTGATCGACATTCGCCATTAACTCGACTATTGGTAGAAGAAATACATCTGGACCTCAAACATGCTGGCGTCGATTGGACAATGACTGAATTCCTTAGCCGTTACTGGATGCCTCAATCTCGTCGAACCATCAGAGGAATTCTTCACAAATGTTTTCAATGCCGTCGACAACATGCGCCACCATTTGTCCGTCCATTAATGCCTCAACTGCCGCCTATGCGTGTTCGACCAGCAAAGCCTTTTGAATTTATAGGCATCGACTTCCTTGGACCGACTACCACCAACTACGCCGGCCAAAACGTCAAAACATGGATTATCATCATTTGTTGTATGGTCACCCGCGGCATCTACCTGGAACCAACTCGAGATATGTCATCAATATCTGTCGTCAACGTCTTACGTCGATTCATCAGTCGCCGAGGCAAACCACGACGAATATTGAGCGACAACGCGCCGACCTTTATTCAAGTACACAAAGCTTTGGATCTACTCACTGGACCGCCGCCTGAAAATCCGCCTTGGGACTACACGACTAAGAATGGCATTCGATGGGACTTCATACCTTCCTATGCACCGTGGATGGGAGCAACATACGAGCGACTCATTGGACTCGTCAAAAGAGCAATTCAACGCACCATCGGCAAAAGAATTCTCGACTACGATGACTTAGGTGCATTCTTAGCTGAAGTGGAAGCAAGCGTCAATAGTCGACCAATAACCTGGGTGTCAGACCAACCTGGAGCACCATTACCTTTAACGCCTAAAGACCTCATCCAAAACAATGGGCCGAACGACCTTGGACCAACAGATTGCGAACTCGACTACGACGACGAAAAATTAAATGGACCTGAGAAACTGGCAGCACTCTGGACCGCATACAGAGAAGCAGCAGACGTCTTTTGGGCCCGATGGAGCAACGAATACATTCTGGCCATCAGAGAACGTGCTGGTTGGACACACAAAGGACCACGTTCTCAAACAACATCACCACCAAAGATTGGTCAAATTGTGCTCGTCGAGATGGATCTTCGTCCCCGCAATCTATGGCCTTTGGCAAAAATCGTCGAACTTAATGGCTCGTCTAATGAAATTCGCAGCGTCAATCTTTTAACTGGAGATGGGAAGATCATCACTCGACCAGTCAGCCGACTATGTCCATTGGAAACTGAAATCGACGATCATATAGCGACAAACATCTCAGAAAATCAAGAGGAAACGCCTAAAGAACCGTCAAAACCAATTCGTCAACATCAAATGACTCTCAGACCACGCAAATCAGTCGTCAATACAACAACACTAGTGGCTATTATCGTCTTACTCGCCAACATCCTAGCATTTGGAACCACAACACCTTGGTATCGATGCGGCCAATACGACTATTCTTGCCTTCTCAGCTTATCGACCATTGCTTCAGCACTCGCGCTCTATGAGTTCAAGTGCGACAATTGCCAACTCCAATGCTCGGCTAAAGGAGTTATCGTCAAAGCACCGCCTGAAGTTCAAAAGACAGCAGTTTGTTGTATGAAGAATTGTATCGACCACACCGACATGAAAGAATACACATACGAACTCGCCGCCGAAATCCTTATTAACGACTATGAATGCGAAGCCTGGTTCTGGCAGAACTCACACAACAGCATTACAAAGAAGATCAATTGCCCGGCCGTAAATGAATGTGACCTATTCGATTGCTACTTTTGCTTCGAACAACTGGCTAATCCGACTTGCAACCCGAAATGGTCAACATTCCTATTTCTGTTAGGAATTTTCGCCTTCAGCAGTTTGGTTGGATGTTTCATCACCATCTTCAGTTCTATCCGTGTTATCGTCAATCTATTCGTCAACGGCTCAACGACAATACTAAAAGCTTTAACGTTTCCCTTCCGTTGGATGTTCGACAAAATCTACTATAAGAACAGCGACAGTTGGAAACGACAAATCAATTACGCCGAAAAGAAGATGTACACGAGACTCAGAAATATTCATCACACAAGCCATCAATTCAGAAGAAGAGTGTCAAACATCATTTTAATTTCGACAATCATCACATCACTTATTATTCCGACTATTGCAGTTATCTCAATCACAACGCAAACTGAAACTTGCGTGAGAGGAACAACTGGTTAATTACCTGCCGGCCAAGTCAACACATTGCTTCTTCGCGACGAACATGGACTAACTCTTGGCACGTTGTCAATGCGTCTAACATCTTTGAAAATGGCCTGCCATCAACAATCAATCGCCTGGTTACGTTCATATCGCGTCGAACCAACAGCCGTCAAAAGATGTCCCCGAGCTGGCTCATGTTTCAACGACCATTGTGAAAATGTCCGACCAAATAGTTACGTCAAAGAACTACAAGTTGGACGAGAACTACCAGGCAACACGTTCTGTATACCATCGACAAGTTTTTGGGGCAACAGCTGTGGACTTCCAACATCAGCTTGCCTATACTACAGATATTTTGCTCGACCAACAAGTTCAACCGTCTTCGAAGTCTTCACCTGCCCAAGTTGGAGCCCAATAATGGACGTCGAACTCGCGATAGAAACAAATGGTGGCAAACGACTATCAAAATCCATCATTTTACATCCTGGCATCACGTCTGCGTGGGGAAACATAACCATCACACCTTTGGCAATCTCTCTTCCGCCTATGCCGGTACTTGGATCAACATTCGTCACTAATGGACAAACCGTCTCAATCGTCAGTCGACTACCTGTTGATCTACACTGTGCAACAGAAGAAGCAGCTCGGTCCTTAAACTGTTCACTCGACCAAGAAGCATGCAAAGAATGTTTCCCGAACCACAATGATGGAACAGTGGAATGCAACTGCCGAGATGTGGACCTCGATGCCATAATGGAGAACCCAGAAACACGACTACCAATCACCAGAGCGAAAGTATGGCTGGAAAACAACGGACCATCAATCTCAGCAACATACGTCTATGCGCCTATTCAAATACATCTTCAAATGAAAAGCCTTGCACTCCATCTTCAACTTCGTGATTCAAAATGCTTCATGGATGAAGCTCGACTAAATGGATGTTACAGATGTGGAGCTGGAGCGCAAATAACATACAAATGCCGATCAGACAACGCCAACGTCTTAGCCACCGTCAAATGTGAAGATGGGATTTTATTCGTCGCCCATTGCTCGACAAATGGAACCCTCGGCAAAGAAGTGATCCCAATCGACTATCCAGATGTCAACACTATTTGTACCGTCGACTATCCGGCTGGAGAGACCAACTTCAACCTCAATGGCAGCCTTTATTACATCCCTCTTCGACGACAATGGGGACATCAGCAACATCGATCAAAACAACTTATGTTGGACCCAGAAACATTCAGTTTTTGGCCCGATCTTGGATTCGACTTATGGATACTCGGCAAACTTCTTCAAGGAGGACCAATATTCCTGGGCATCATAACGTCAATTGGACTTGCTTTACTCGCCGTATACCTTTTCATGCGTCTATCACCGATATTCCGAATTTATCGACAAATGGCTAGAACAATTACCATCATTGCAATTCTGGCACAAGTTCAAGCTGTCAATAGAACAACAATCGACAAACCCGAAATTTCGTCTGCGCCTATATCGTCGAAATATACATTTGGATGGAATCTCTTTGGAATTGCCGTTATTTCGACTAGTATAATGTGCCTGATGATTCGAATCGTCAATCTACATACGCCAAAACCCTTTCGACCATTTCAACGACAAAAACGCCAAAAAAGATTCGCGCCTATATTACCCTTCAATTCAACATTTTACATTCCAATCATAATTATTGCACTTCCTGTGTGGCCGGCCGGATGTTCCCTTCAGAAAAAGGAAAACAATTTACAGCGACTAACTGGACCACACACATTCAATCTAGCTGAGCGGCAAAATGACATCATACTTATCACAGTAAAAAGAATTAATAAATTTCCAATCGACTATCAACACGCTCAATCAGCATGGGAAAATAAATTTATTTTCAACACGCCTACTATTATAAATATACAATTTCAATCGACAATAATTCATTCATTCAACAAATCAGTTCTGCTCGTCTACGCCAAATTCAAAATGTCTTCTCGTCCATTATCGCCATTCAACAACGGAGGTTTTGGAACACCTCGTAACAGTCGTCAAATGGAACCGCAATTCCCACGAACACCTTCCCCACCTCGCAATCGTCATGCATCAAATCCACCTCCGTTTAATCGTCAAATATCTCCAACACACTTACATTCTCGTCGAACCGGAAATCGTCAACGATTAGAAGTTACAGAACGCCTAGATGAATATATAGCAGCACGATTTGGGAACAATTGGTGGAAAACCGTTGCGACTATCGACAAAATTAACCGCCAACTTAGAGGATTAATGATACGTGACCACACCAACGGTAACAACATCACAGACTGGGACTGCATCACCTACAAGCCAGCACAGAAACTTCTTGTTCAACCCGGCGAAACCGTAACACAACATTGGCAAATGAAAGGACTTCCAATTAGGGAACCATATCTCCCGGTACTACGACAATTTGGTGGCATCCGTGGAACATCACGTCAATCCCGCCAACGTCAACGTCGAGGATTTATCCCTTGGCAAATGGGATACGACCACAAAAGCTACTTCCCTTTGCAAAACTTGGAAATCGTAATTCCTACACCATTGGCAAAACCTAAAGAAGATCGTCAAGAAGATCAACAACCTCGTCAAATTCATGTAATCACCGAAGCAACGCGTCAAAAAATTATCGACAAACTTGTAAAGACAAGAGATGAAATCAATGACGTCATCGAATTTGTTCAACAACTTGCGCCTTCTGAGCAAACTTCAACCTCTTGGAGTTGGAATGGAGGAGAGCAGTAAAGAAATTTTATTTTTTATATTTCTATCTTTCTTTTCCCCTATTCATTACTTTGTATTTATCCCCTATTCCTTAATCTTTTTCTTTGTAATTTTTTCAAATGTTGGGAATGGATGGAACATCAATTCAAATGTCAGCAAAATGGGTCCTCGTCAAATGTTCAACATATCGCCTAACCGTCTAAACTTTAACGTCAAAACTCAACAAAATAAACTTCACAACAAAAAGCATCAACTTTAAATAATAAAAAGCATCTTTATAAATGAAATTTATTGGCGAAGCCAATCAACTTTGATAATTTAAAAATAAAAGGAACGTGGTGAAACATCATAAATTTAAAATTCAACATCTTCAAACAATAAGCAAATCTTCAAACCAACTTAACAACAAAACTTAAAAAGCAAATCGTCAAATGGAATATCGACTAAAACTTTAAATCGACTAATCAACATAACCCTTAACAACTAAGGACCCACTGATGTGCTTGCCCGCGGCAATGTCGAAAATTTCTTAAATTTTCGTCGAAGGATGAAATTAATTAAATTATTAATTTTTCCGTTCCTATTTTTTTATGACATCACTTTTTAGTGATCGTTATCGCCTACTTTGCTCTTTCTCTCTTTTTTCCATAAAATGGATAAATTTATCCATTTTATCTTAAATTCCAATCTAAAAATTATTAATAATTTCATCCAAAAGGGAAAAAAGGGAGAAAGTGCATTTCCGCCAACATTATTAAAAACATATAATTTTTTATGTTTTCTATTTTTGCCATTTCCCCACATTTTTTACCACACACATTGAAAATGTCCTATTTAAGCCAATTTTTTCCCCTTACACCAACTTTCGTTCAATCATTTTTAACCTTTGCCTAATTATCCCAACCAGCCTTTTAATAACCACACACACATACAATTATAATTTTCTTTAATTAAATAAATATTTTTTAATATTCTTGTCTTTTACTATTCTTTGGTAATATTCTGTAAATATTCTTTGGGAATATTCAATTGTTCGTCTAGCGTCTAAACTTGGCCATCCATCCAAAACCCTCGCCTAATCGCCTAACATCCCTTTTGGTTTGCCACGTCTTAATCTTTGGGATTAAGACACTCATCGTCTTCAACACACTTTCGACTATTGTTTTTAGCGGCGAACTCCTAGTTCCCTCTTGGGAATCCCGACCTAGGTAGTTCCCGTTAAACGATAAGATTTGTATTGAAAATCAATCGATATGAAATAAATAATAAGAAAATAAGAAATTATAACTTGCCGTTTCTAATATTTCACTTTATATATTTTATGACCGATGAGATTTGTTTTGAAAATCAATCGATATGAAATAAATAATAAGAAAATAAGAAATTATAACTTGCCGTTTCTATTATTTCACTTTATATATTTTATGAACGATAAGATTTGTATTGAAAATCAATCGATATGAAATAAATAATAAGAAAATA